CCAACACAACCCTGCCTGCTATTGTGGCTCACATTATTCTGCCAAGTGAGTGTGGGCAGGAATTAGCAACCTATCAGTCAGTCATGTTCCTCATTTGCGCCATTGCTAGGTCTGGGTACTCCTCTTCAAATATAATGGCAGACAATCATAATCATGTGGCACAGCAGCCAATGAGAGTCCTCCAAAGTCCTGCTCTCCTCTTCTTGTGGTGACCATCAAGTGCAGAGAGCAACACATTGCAGGGGAAACATTCTGATGGGAAGCCTAAAAGAACAGGGGTGATTGCAATTGTCAACTTTCCTTCATTTAGTTAAAAACTTTAAAGTGGTTCTAAACCTTTAACTTTTTTACCTTAATGCATTCTATGCATTAAGGTAAAAAAAACCTTCTGTGTTGTGGGATACAACCCCACACCCCCCTGATAATTACCTGAGCCCGATCTCGATCCAGCACTAGGCACAAAAGCAGAAGTTTTCTCCTATCTCTGCCTCCTCATAGGCCAGATTGATAGCAGCGGGGGCCATTGGCTCCCACTGCTGTCAATCAAGATCTGTGAGGAGGGAGCAAGGGGCGGGGCCAAACTGAGTTGCCTGTGTGTATATATAAGCAGACAGCATGGGGGGCTGGGACAAGACATTGTGTCTGTGTCTATAGACGCAGACAGGGTGGCTTAGGATAGAGCCTACATGAGAGCTGCCATAGAAAGCTGCTTTCTATGGCATCACTTGCTGAACAGAAAGAGTCAGGAGGGCTGGTGGGGGACCCCAGAAGAAGAGGATCATGGTTGCTCTGTGCACAGAGCAGGTAAATATTACATGTTTATAGTTATATATTAAAAGAAAAAACAAAAGCATTACAATCACTTTAAGAAGTATTAGTTGGAGTTCAACTTTAATTTGTTAGTCACTTATGGAAAGTCTATCTAAATCTACTAGTTTATCTAACTCTTCCCTCTCCGCTGTCCAAATGTGTCTCCATTGTTCCTCCATAGATAGAGGAGACACCCTAAGATAGGGAGTCTGATACCGCTCAGATCACCAGGTGAAAATAAAAGAGAAAAAACCTAAAACAGAACTCTAAAACAGGCACCACCAACAAGGCTTAGTAAACTACAATATAAAATATGATTTTGTTTTTAGGTTTAGATACACTTTAACTGTGTAATTGCACTAGTCAGAAATGTGGTTGTTAGCTAAAAAAGGGATTCCCTGATCTATCAAATGTTCTATCAAATCTATCAAATGTTGAACCAAAGAAACAGATAATTGTGAATGCTATAAGGTATACTGTAGCTCTGGTTATATTTCAAAATCCTGGACAGTATTTCACCAGTCTTCCCAACCCCTGGACTCCCGCTTTCTTGTGGCCTCCTGTTAGTAGGAGGAAGTATATTGTGAATCCTTAGACCATCCAGTTCTGCTCTTGCTGCTGTCTGTAGAAAATTAAATCTTGGAATGTGGGTCATCATTTTTTTTCTTTTCTTCTTCACTATATTTCTTGCAAAGTAATGGAACAGAGTGTTAGGCTTTCCAGCTTGTTACTTTTGCGCTGCATTAAAGAAAAAAAAAAAAAAAAAGCATTGAGGATGCATCAAACTGCGTAGATTTGTTATGCCTGACTGTTTTCTGTTTAGCGTTACACAGGTTGTCTGGAATATTTCCTGTTATTTTTAATGAGCTATTTCACTGTTGATTTAAACTTTGCAAGTAATTAACCCGCAGTCTTCTTTACACTTAAAACTTTTGCAAGTTTAAAAATAAAAGTAAGTTCAAACTATTGTTTGTTAAAAGTTACCCGGTAAAAACGCACAGTCCGTGTTCAGTAATGTGTTTTTAATGCTGTTCTTTATTAGTCTAATTGCACCTTTGCAGATATTTCCACAGCATTTGCATAAATAGTCTTTTGCCTTATTAAACTCACTTCCTGCGGAGAATAAGCCTCAGAAGAGGTCATGTGACTACATGACATATAAAATTAAGAGTTTCCCATGCATTCACAGTTACAGTTTGTAGCATTCAGGAAAGTCTCTTTGGGTCTAATATTTTTTGTTTTTTTTATGTTTAAAGTCATGTACAAAATTGTCTGAAAGATTGGTCTGGGTTGTCAAAGACACCTGTTTGATTCTGCCTTGTTCTGTAAACACATAGGGATCCACTCATAAAGAATGACAAAATCGTTGATCTTTTTGTTTAGCCAGAAGTTTCCCTATTGTGCTACAAAGGCTTGCTGATTTTCCAGCTTCCATTTCATAAAAATATGACATGGAAAAGGTGCTGTGTTGACTTAGAAGTTAAAATAAGTTAAAATAAATGCAGAAGGAAAATTAAAATGTGGGGTGCTTTGAAGAAGGATCTTTGTCCAGCACTCTTTTTATTATTTAACCTAATGATTATGTTTGAATTTAGGGTAAAGTTTCTTGGCAATGTATATAATATATATATATAATAATATATCTATATAAATATACTGTATAGTGTGCTCACTCCCTGGGGTGAGCACACTTTCAGGCACAGATACCAGTCCCCAGTGATGTGGTGACAAAACAGTGCATTGGTTATTGGTGCTGATTAGAGATGAGCGAATCGAACATGGCGAAGTGGAATTCGTTTCGAATATATGTGGGAAATATTCGATTCGCGCCGAATCCGAAAAATTAGCCAACTTCGGATGCACGAATTGAATTTTCCCAAAAAAATGGCGGCGACATGTGTGTGGGCGACGGAGCGGGGATCTCTGGGAAGGGCGCGCAGACAAGGAGAGCTGACCCATAATGCATTCATTTCATGACATGTGATTGCATTAGCCAATCAGCACCAGCCAGCCAGCACTGTGTAATGGTGGAGCTATAAATTGCGGCCATCTTACAATTCTCCATTAGCCGCCGGTCTCCGGTCATTCAAGAGAGACCAGAGGAGACTTACTGTATTAGGGACAGACGTTAGGCCAGAGAGACTTTAGGGGCCACAGAATCGTTACTTAGGGACACAGAATCGGGTTACTTAGGGACACACGAATCGTTACTCAGGGACACAGAATTGTTACTAAGACCTTGTAGGGACACAGAAGTGATACACATGGACACACTAGGAATTGGCTTACTAATTGTTTACTCAGGGACACAGAATTGTTTACTCACGGGACACACCAGAATTGTTACTGAGGGAACAGACACAGAATTGTTACTCAAGGGACACAGAATTGTTACTGAGGGACACAGAATTGTTACTCAGGACACAGAATTGTTACTCAGGGACACAGAATTGTTACTCAGGGACAGACACAGAAATTGGTTACTGAGGGACACAGAATTGTTACTCAGGGACACAGAATTGTTACTCAGGACAGACACAGAATTGTTACTCAGAGGACACAGAATTATTACTCAGGGGACAGACACAGAATTGTTACTGAGGGACACAGAATTGTTACTGAGGGACACAGAAATTGTTACTCAGGGACACAGAATTGTTACTCAGGGACACAGAATTGTTTACTCAGGGACAGACACAGAATTGTTACTGAGGGACACAGAATTGTTTACTGAGGGACACAGAATTGTTACTCAGGGACACAGAATTGTTACTCAGGGACAGATACAGAATTGTTACTGAGGGACACATAATTGTTACTGAGGGACACAGAATTGTTACTCAGGGACACAGAATTGTTTACTCAGGGACACAGACATTGTTAAGAATTGTTACTCCAGGGACACAGAATTGTTACTGAGGGACACAGAATTGTTACTCAGGGACACAGAATTGTTACTCAGGGACACAGAATCGTTGAATTAAAGAGTATGTCAGACAACAACACCAGAGGAGTGGCAGAGGAGGCAATGTTTCAGGAGCGAGCAGACGTGGCAGCAGAGGAAGGGGTCGAGGCAGCACTAGTCGCAGCCAGAGGCCAGTGCTCCCGGTGTCATTCACGGTCGTGTCTCCACCGACAACCCTGCCGTCATTGATTGGGTTGGTCTCGGTCGTCTTCCTCTCTCCCAGGGTCACCACTGACACCTACACAGCCAACGGTCGGTGGGTACGTCAGACACAACCGTTAGTTGGCAATGGCCCGGGAGCAAGCCCACTGAAATCACGTGTCCTCTACCTGCCCCTGTCCTTTGGTGTTCCCTCACCAAGCGAAGTATCGCATGCTGTGGGCTCAGCCGCCCACTGTACAGTGAGGAAGAGCTAACAGAGGCGGTCAGGAACGGGGGGAGACACATCCGCCTCACTTCAGCAGCCAGACGAAGAAGTACTGCGAGGAGAGTGGCTCGTAGCCGGTCTAGAGACAGGTCTGTCTCCTGTATTTCCTGAACCACAGTGCAGCCGAGGGGGCTAGTAGTGAGGCGGAGACCCTAAATTGATATGATGAGGCTGATCGCACTTGGCAGCCTCGTCGTCATCTGCCAGGCCCGTAATCTGCCATGGGGCCCCCCGTACCGACTCCTCATGCTGCTGCCCAGGCCCGTAATCTGTCATGGGCCCCTGTACCCCGCCTCCTCATTGCTGCTGCCAGGTCCAGAGTGTGTCATGGGTCCCTGTACGCGCCTCCCATTGCTGCTGTCTCCATCGCCACACTCTGCCATGTGCCACTTTCAGGTCCTCCTCACACTGCTGGTGGGTTCCATTTTGTCATAGGGTGCTACGGGTCTTCGATTACGGGCCCCGTAATCCTCCCACTCGTTGCTGCTGCCAGGCCCGTAATCTGTCATGGGTCCCCCTGTACCGCCTCCTCATGCTGCCCTGCCAGGTCCAGAGTGTGTCAGGGTCCCTGTACGGCCTCCATTGCTGCTGTCTCCATCGCCACACTCTGCCATGTGCCACTTTCAGGTCCTCCTCACACTGCTGGTGGGTTCCATTTTGTCATAGGGTGCTGGCAGATTACGGACCTCCCATTGCTGCAAGCCAGGCCCGTAATCTGTCATGGGCCCCTGTACCCCCCCCGCCTCCTCATGCTGCCTGCCAGGTCCAGAGTGTGTCATGGGTCCCTGTACCGCCTCCTCATGCTGCTGCCAGGTCCAGAGTGTCTCATGGGTCCCTGTACGGCCTCCCATTGCTGCTGTCTCCATCGCCACACTCTGCCAATGCGGCCACTTTCAGGTCTCCTCACACCTGCTGGTGGGTTCCATTTTGTCATAGGGTGCTGGCAGATTACGGGCCTCCCATTGCGCTGCCAGGCCCGTAATCTGTCATGGGCCCCTGTACCGCCTCCTCATGCTGCTGCCAGGTCCAGAGTGTGTTCATGGGTCCCTGTACCGCCTCCTCATGGCTACTGCCCAGGTCCAGAGTGTGTCATGGGTCCCTGTATACCGCCCCTCAATGCTGCTGCTGCCAGGTCCAGAGTGTCTCATGGGTCCCTGTACGGCCTCCCATTGCTGCTGTACTCCATCGCGAGCCACACTCTGCCATGTGCCACTTTCAGGTCTCCTCACGACTGCTGGTGGGTTACATTTTGTCATAGGTGCTGGCATGATTACGGGCCTCCCATTGCTGCTGCCCAGGCCGTAATCTGTCAATGGGCCCCTGTACCCCGCCTCCTCATGCTGCTGCCAAGGTCCAGAGTGTGTCATGGGTCCCTGTACCGGCCTCCTCATGCTGCCTGCCAGGTCCATAGTGTCTCATGGTCCCTGTACGGCCTCCCATTGCTGCTGTCTCCATCGCCACACTCTGCCATGTGCCACTTTCAGGTCTCCTCACACTGCCTGGTGGGTTCCATTTTGTCATAGGGTGCTGGCAGATTACGGGCCTCCCATTGCTGCTGCCAGGCCCGTAATCTGCCATGGGCCCCCGTACCCGCCTCCTCATGCTGCTTGCCAGGTCAGAGTGTCTCATGGGTCCCTGTACGGCCTACCATTGCCTGCTGTCCCATCGCCACACTCTGCCATGGTGCCACTTTCAGGTCTCCTCACACTGCTGGTGGGTTCCATTTTGTCAGAGGGGTGCTGGCAGATTACGGGCCTCCCATTGCTGCTGCCAGGCCCGTAATCTGTCATGGGCCCCCCCTGTTACCGCCTCCACATGCTGCTGCCAGGTCCAGAGTGTGTCATGGGTCCCTGTACGGCCTCCCCATTGCTGCTGTCTCCATCGCCACACTCTGCCATGTGCCACTTTCAGGTCCTCCTCACACTGCATGGTGGGTTCCCATTTTTGTCATAGGCTTGCCTGGCAGATTACGGCCTCCCATTAGCTGCTGTCCAGGCCCGTAATCTGCCATGGGCCCCCGTACCGGCTCCTCATGCTGTTGCCTCGCCAGGCCCGTAATCTGTCATGGGCCCCTGTACCAGCCTCCTCATGCTGCTGCCAGGGTCCAGAGTGTGTCATGGTCCCTGTACGGCCTCTCCCATTGCTGCTGTCTCCATCGCCACACTCTGACGTTTTGTGCCACTTTCAGGTCTCCTTCACACTGCTGGTGGGGTTCCATTTTGTCATAGGGTGCTGGCAGATTACGGGCCTCCCCATTGCTGCTGGCCAGGCCCCGTAATCTGCCATGCGGCCGCCCGTAACCGCCTCCTCATGCTGCTGCCAGGTCCCAGAGTGTCCCTCATGAGTCCCTGTACTGGCCTCCCATTGCTGCTGTCTCCATCGCCACACTCTGTGCCATGTGCCACATTCAGGTCTCTCCTCACACTGCTGGTGGGCGTTTCCATTTTGTTCATAGGGTGCTGGCAGATACGGGGCCTCCATTGCTGCTGCCAGGCACCGTAGTTCTGCCATGGGCCCCCCCGTACCGCCCTCCTCATGCTGCTGGCCAGGTCCAGAGTGTCTCATGGTTCCCTGTACGGCCTCCCATTTGCTGCTGGTCTCCATCGCGCACACACTCTGCCATGTGCCACTTTCAGGTCCTCCTCACACTGCTGGTGGGTTCCATTTTGTCATAGGGTGCTGGGCAGATTACGGGCCTCCCATTGCTGCTGCCATGCCCGTAATTTAATCGCCATGGGCACCCCCGTACCGACTCCTCATGCTGCTACGGCAGGCCCGTAATCTGTCATGGGGCCCCTGTACCGCCTCCTCATGCTGCTGCCAGGTCCAGAGTGTGTCATGGGTCCCTGTACGGCCTCCCATTGCTGCTGTCTCCATCGCCACACTCTGCCATGTGCCACTTATCAGGTCTCCTCACACTGCTTGGTGGGTTCCATTTTGTCATAGGGTGCTGGCAGATACGAGCCTCCCATTGCTGCTGCCGAGGCCCGTAATCTGCCATGGGCCCCCGTACCGCACTCCTCATGCAGCTGCTGCCAGGTCCAGAGTGTCCTCCATGGGTCCTGTACGGCCGTCTCCATTGCTGCTGTCTCCATCGCCACACTCTGCATGTGCCACTTTCAGGTCTCTCACACTCTGCTGGTGGGGTTCCATTTTGTCATAGGGTGCTGGCAGATTACGGGCCTCCCATTGCTGCTGCCAGGCCCGTAATCTGCCATGGGCCCCTGTACCGACTCCTCAAGCTGCCTGCCAGGTCCCAGATGTGTCTCATGGGTCCCTGTACGGCCTATCCATTGCTGCTGTCTGCCATCGCCACACTCTGCCATGTGCCACTTTCAGGTCCTCCTCACACTATGCTGGTGGGTTCCCTTTTTGTCATAGTGTGCTGGCAGATTACGAGGCCTCCATTGCTGCTGCCAGCCCGTAATATGCCATGGGCCCCCGTACCTGACTCCTCATGCTGCTGCCAGGCCGTAATCTGTCATGGGCCCCATGTACCGCCTCCTTCATGCTGCCTGCAAGGTAGTCCAGAGTGTCTCATGGGGTCCCTGTAACGGCCTCCCATTGCTGCTGTCTCCATCGCCACACTCTTTCATGTGCCAATTTCAAGGTCTCCTCACACTGCTAGGTGTGGTTCCATTTTTGTCATAGGGTGCTGGCCAAGATTACGGGCCTCTCCATTGCGAGCTGCCAGGGGCCCGTAATCTGCCATGGGTCCCCGTACCGCCTCCTCATGCTGCTGCCAGGTCCAGGAGTGTCTCTCATGGTCCCTGTAACGGCCTCCCATTGCTGCTGTCTCCATCGTCCACACTCTGCACATGTGTCAACTTTCAGGTCTCCTCACACTGCTGGTGTGGGTTCCATTTTGTCATAGGGCGGCTGGCAGATTACGGGCCTCCCATTGCTGCTGCCAGGCCCGTAATCTGCCATGGGTCCCCCGTAACCGCCTCCCTTCATGCTGCTGCCAGTCCAGAGTGTCTCATGGTCCCTGTACGGCCTTCCATTGCTGCTGTCTCCATCGCCACACTCTGCCATGTGCCACTTTCAGGTCTCCTCACACTGCTGGTGGGTTCCATTTTGTCATAGGGTGCTGTATGGCCTCCCATTGCTGCTGCCTCCACCGCCACACTGTGGCTTCCACACTCTGGTTTTTGGCCCGTGACTGCCCAAATGAGTGAAGTGTGCGGTGATTCTAAATATCGACGGCACTCATCTGCATGTCATACTGACTGACAGTATTATTTCTCTTCCCCAGCAGACTCCAAGGGCATTTAAATTAAAGGTACAGTGTTCTCTGCACTAATATAAAGGCTCTCTGAAGCCTAGAAACACCCTTTTTTATAAGTTAAATTCGCAGCGAATATATTCGACTCTCGAATCGAATTTATTCTGCGAATTTTTTTCGATCCGAATCAGCCCGAATCGAATTTTTTGAATACTTCGCTCATCTCTAGTGCTGATTATACTGTTATGGACTGGATTATCTTTTACTGATATGGACAGGTAATGTGTTAGGAATGAAAAGGATGCACCACCGTTTGATAGAAAATTATGAAAAATTACAAACAAAAACCTACAGAGGACTGGATGCAAAAAAACACTCCCAAAATGTATGGCCCGCACGTGCCTTGTAATGCATGCCTGACAATGTCGGGCGCATGCTCCCAATGAGATGACGGATGGTGTCCTCGGGGTATTTCCTCCCAGATCTGGACCAGGGCATCACTGAGCTCATGGACAGTCTGAGGTGCAACCTGTGGCAGTGGTCGGATGGACCGAAACATGAGATCCCAGAGGTGTTCTATTGGATTTAGGTCAGGTGAGCGTGATTGACGAGGCCGTTCAATGCTATCAATTCCTTGATCCTCTAGGAACAGCCTGCATATTCTCACCACATAAGGCCGAGCATTGTCCCGTGCACCAGGAGGAATCCAGGACTCACTGCATTAGCGTAGGGGGTCTGACAATGTGTCCAAGGATTTCATTCCTATACTTAATGGCAGTCTGGGTGCCAGAACATCACTGACCCATGACCAAAATGGTCATGCTGAATGATATTACAGGCAGCATAACACTTTCCATGGCTTCTCCAGACCCTTTCACATCTATAACATTTGCTTAGGGTGAATCTGCTCTCATCTGTAAAAAGTACAGGGCACCAGTGGTGGACCTGCCAGTTCTGGTGTTAAAATGGCAAATGCCAATGAAGCTCTATGGTGCCGGGCAGTGAGCACAGGGTCCACTAGAGGACGTTTGGGTCCTCAGGCCACCCTCATGATGTTTGTTTCTGATTGTTTGGTCAGAGACATTCACACCAGTGGCCTGCTGGAGGTCCGTTTGTAGAGCTCTGGCAGTGCTCATCCTGTTGCTCCTTGCACAAAGAAGCAGATACCGGTCCTGCTGATGGGTTAAGGACCTTCTACGGCCCTGTACAGCTCTCCTAGAGTAACTTCCTATCTCCTGGAATGCTCTTGAGACTGTGCTGTGAGACACAGCAAAACTTCTGGCAATGGCACGTATTGATGTGTCATTCTGGAGGAGTTGGAAAGCCTGTGCAAACCTTTGTAGGGTCCTGGTATCACCTCATGCTACCAGTAGTGACAATGACCCTAGTCAAATGCAAAACTAGTGAAAAAAAAGTCAGAAAGATGAGTAGGAAAAAAATGTTCAGTGGCCTCTACCTAAAAAACTATTCCTGTGTTGGGAGTCATCTCATTGTTGCCCATCTAGTACACTCAGCTACTTAACTGACCAGAATCATTATCCCAGGAGTTCAATTGACTTGATGCTATACTCTAATTAAAAAGTTTTCCTTTAATTTTTTTGAGTAGTGTATATAACATATATTTTTAGGTGGTTTGATTCAGGGTAATGATTATGTTTACATATTAGGTTTTTATCAATTTTGGGCACTGGATGTGCTACAATCTAAAAAAAAAATTCATATCAATTTACACAGGGCATGTGTCCTTCTATCTGCAGCTTCTCACCTTGCACTGTCAAAATGACAGTCGAGGGTTATTGTGTAAATACAGAAGTTGTAGAAAATTATGTTGTCAAAAAACATACCTTCTGGCACAAAGTTTATACACACTGTTCAGACACAAGAGAGAGAGATACAAAGTAACATTGTTACTTTTGTATTTGGTTTCATTTATTTTCAAATTGAGAGAATGAGCTTAAACTTTCATAGGATGTCAGTTAAAGTATGTGTGAACCAAAAATTACCAATTACATTCTAACAATGCTTACCCACTGGTAATCATGCCATTAAGGACCCATGCACACCAGCATGAACATTTTTTCTGCTCCTAGAAGCTAATAGATTCTATGAGGTTTATTTACTAAAGCTGGAGAGTCCAAAATCAGACTCCCTTCTGCATAGAAACCAATCAG